CGCCCGGCTAACGCCGAGCTCTCCTCCTTCTCTTTAGCTCGGCTTCGCCGAGCTGGCCTGGCTTCGCCAGGCGCGCTCCATAATTTTAACGAAGCCTTTTTAATAGTGGGCTGCTACGGCGCTGTAGGAATCGAATCGTAACAGATAGAGCAAGGCTTAGGATCCTGCACTACTTAGCATACAATGTGTAGTCGGAAAATACAGCGCAATGTGAATCACTCAGTAGAAGAACAGATTTCGTTTACATCACCGAAACCGAAATGCACCATCACCACCTGCACCGAAATGCCTACCGATGAATGTTCCCCTTTTCAATTAGCATGCGGTCCGCTCCCTAAAGTATTATTATTAGTAGGTACTACACTCCCTTGTTATTCGTTCTCATCTGTAATTGAATGGTCAAAAGTAAAAAGGGCTGTTGAACGCATGAAGCGAAGCATTATTCAGGTTTTCTGTTCCGGAGTTTCCTGTTTCAGGCAAACTACATACTCCCCCCATACCCATAATTTGATCGAGTCGTAATAGATGGAGCAACCCACGCGCGAACTCACGTCTAGCTGCCACGCGAGCAGCTTGAGCAATGCCTTGGGGTGTACTAAATTGTAATCTTGTATAGGGTGATTCGCACCCCTGCCGCATTCAGCAGTGGAACGCTTTAAATGGCCCTCACTAAGGTTGTTGATGGAAGATAATTGTGGTAAGCGTGATTAAGTGAATTGATGCTGTTCATAACATCTCTGTAAACAAACCCCATGCATTTGGAATAGAGCTAGCTTAGCGGTCGTACATGATGTCGTTACTAATGAGGAATGAGTTCTGTTGGAATCATTGAGATCGTTATACTTGAGTCATATCGATCGCATTGTTGTTGTGAGCGGTGAAGCGGATTTTCCCATGTTACCTTGTCACTTTTAGCTCCTATCACTTCCGTACCCGCCAATAACACTCCCGTCCCGTATCACTATCATCACCCTGTATCGCCTCTCGGATCCGAGGTCCCACTGTTGCTGTAACCTGCGTTACGAATTTGATGACCCTCCCTTCCGAAGCCGCTTATCGTATCTTATCAACTGTTATCACTTTCTGTCACCCGCCAATATGTTCCCGTCCCACACCCTATATCACCTCACGTATCTGAGGTCCCACTGTTGCTGTAACCTGCGATACGAATTTGATGACCCTTCCCTTCCGAGGCCGCTTATCGTATCTTATCAACTGTTATCACTTTCTGTCAGTCTTCGTATAACTGCTTCCACGTCCCACGTCTAGTCAGCCCCGCTCAAGTAATTGCGCGCGGTCCAACACAACCGGGCTGGGAGGATCGTCCGGTATCTCTTCGAGTAGCTGCGATCACATCACAGTCTGAGGTCCCCTACTGTTCCCGTACGCCGCGTCGATAGAGCGAATTTGATGACGCCTTGGGGGGTCGGCGCCTTCACACAGGAGGTGCTTATCAGTAAATTAAATCCCAACGTGTTTTATCACTTCTGTCGCTCCCACGCCACCATGAATGTTACCCGGCCTCAAATGTCCGCCGCAATCCACACTACCTCACTTCTCGGATCCAAGGACCCACTGTTCCTGTGAGCCGCCACTTGTGTGCAAATTACTGTAAGCGCTTCCCGCGCTTCTAATCCCATATACAGATATCTAATCAGTGGATATACACATCCTTGGTCAACCGGCGGTACCCAATGAAACTGATTCGCACCCCACCCCTTCCTTCTCACTGCTCGGAGAACGGCACGTCCCTCCACTGCCGCCTTCCTCGCGGATCCACGCAGTCTCTATGAATATATAAGGTACCGTCGCCCCCTTCCTCTCACAGCCCGCCTCTGTATGCGTATCTTTAAGTGCAGCTGATATCACTTCCGCTCAGCTCATCCCTCGCCCGCCGCGATATGTGCGTGGTCCCCCAGGTCGCACCACGGCGACCATACATCACTTCTTGAACATCAATGTCACCCACTGTGTACTGGTACACATGCGACTATGAATTTCGATGACACACAGACAAGAACCCCACCAAACATACACACACACATCCCATTCCGTTGCCACAAGCGACCTCTTAAGCATGACATAACTAGGCGGGATTATATAGAGGGTCACGATGGCGTTATTTTGGGTTGCACTGATGCTGGACTTGAGCCCCTGAAGTGCTTTCAATGGTCCATCCGTTTCTCCGCCCATGCGATCATCGCGGAACCTGTTCTATTATTTAATGCGGTAGAATTTCAAAGCCTGTCTTTGTTACCATTCCCGCACTAGCGCCTAGGCTCACATTCAGACTAAAAAAGATTGCACAGCGCCAGGTCACAGGTCCAGTTTACGGTATCAGTAGCTCCAGTGATACCGTAACCTGGACCGTGGATATCTAGGGCACATCAGCTCAGTCCTTTGGAGTTTACTAAACTGATGTTACCACTTCGAATAATTTTTCGTTTTTGTCCGTGATTGATAAGTGAAGCGCACTTCGCGATAGCGGGATGGACGGAGAGGGTGAACTGTTATGTCTTCTTCTCGTGCACCCATCCACCCATCCTTCTGAAGCAGTGAAGAGGAAGAGGACGATAATTAGGTGATTTGCTGTCTCCGCTCAGATGACCAAGCCAGAATGTTCCTTTTGAAGCTGGAATTAAGTTGAACTTTTTGAAAAGCTTACACACCTTCGCTGAGTTTCCCGCCTGCGACAGCGAACAAGACCGCTCCATCTCCGACACGAGCAGCGGCAGCAAACCGATCCCATATTTCTCCAGAGGCCCCGCGAGGTTCAACAAAAACGGTTTTCTTCATCTGCAACTTCGTCATATGAAGTATCGACCAACGCAGTTTGAGGAAATGCAGTCGAACTACAGAAAAAAGCTATGGAAATAATATCGAATTGCTTATTCGTGACAAAATTGATGCTCCAGGAACGAAACGCTATCTAGAACATGGTAAAACTCACACATTTTTTTCATTGTGCCAACGCGGTTGGTAGGTGGAGCTTTTTTAATGGCCTGAAAATTCGAATAGATCGTCGCTTCAGAGACCTAAATATGACTCTGAGGACGAAGAGCTAGTAAACATTGTAGAGCCGGGAAAAGCGCTGGCAATACGTCTTACTGTCGAAGGGCGCGGTCAAACACAAGGACGCCGCTCGGCAGCCACATGATCGAAGAGCATAGCGGAAACGGCTCTGATGTGAAGCGGAGAATTCTGAGACCGAAATTCGGGCTAGGGAAACGCTAGAGGCATTCCGTATTTCCGCCAGAAATCCTAGGACGAACAACCGAAATGAGCGTCTGGCCATTACCAATCACCCCTTACAATTTGCACCGCACTGCGAGCTACTGGAGCAGTGAGATGTGCAGATTCTATGATTCTATGTGTACTTGCTAGATAGGGGCAGCACAATATGTCTGACTTACTAACCACAATTAACTCTGAGTGGCGTCGTCCCTTTACGCGGTGGTAGAGAGTGAGTTTGTTTCTTCCATTCGGAATTTTCGGGCTCTCCTGGTACCAAACGAAAGGGACTAGGAGGCGATCGACGGCATAGAGAGAAGAACTTGTGAACCTTGAGCCATGTTTAAACGACTGTGGGAACGTCAGACCCATAATAAACAGTTCCACCTACCAACCTCGTTAGCACAATAGTAAAAGAACAATATCAACGTTCAGAACAATGCAAAGGTTCTACGAAGAGAGAAGTTGGACGCTGTTAGAAAAAAAAATGGATTTCTGCTTACACTGCACTGATTTATGAGCTTGAACTTTTCCAATGTTGACATGAACTGCGACATGCAGTCGTAACTAGTGAAAAAACGCAACACAACCATTTGGGACCTCGCGAATCAGCAACATCAGAGCTTCGGCAACGGATTTCATCTGGAATATCCTGCAGAGTACTCTGTTTAAGAGTGAAAGGATAGTTTCAGCTGCTGATCAATCTCTTTTCGGAATGCGGCACACATTCAACGTTTATTCAGAAGGTAATAGCTTAATGAGTGCGATGTGGCCTACACATGCGGTGGCCAGCCAATGTGCAGGCAGTGTTCCCATCCTTCCAGACGAACATGGTACCAAGTTACCAATCAAAGAGGGTAGAGAGCATGTTAGTCTGGGCAGGAGCCGCAATTCGCGCTCTGACAGTTGACACAGGAATGCTGGCTTATGAGCAGCAGTCAGACCATAGGCGCGACTTGAACCCGCCCTCACGCTTAGGCATTGTTCACAGTCTGAGACCCTGGCGAAACGGCGGTTCGGCGGGAAGCAAAAATCGGAGGATCGCCAACCGCCCCCTTCGACGAACCGCCGTGGTTCAGCGGTCGGGCGAAAAGCAATATATGCGTATTGATTTCGCAGACTCCGCCTCAGAGAAAAACCGTTTTTTGCTCAACCGCTTCGCCGAACAGCCCGTCTATAATATAGTATCAAAACCGTTCGCGCAACCGCCAGACTCTTCGCCCAACCGCCAATCGATACGTATCGAAAACTTTTCGCCGAAGCGTTTCTTTCTAGAGAAACGCTGGGTCGCAGCCTGTGAACAATGCCTTACCGAGCGGCTCCGCTATCCCCAATACACACTTTCGCGGTAAGCATGAGCTGTATTAAAGACGCACTATACCATAAACAGATCGGCGGAGACTCTTAACCATCATGCCTTGTTCACTGGCACGCCTCATCCAGACTTTTTTCATTGGCACACCCACCACCCCCTCAATCGAGGGCTGTGCCAATGAGTAAGATACAAGGTCTACGGGTTTCCGCCCACGGTGTGTATGTAAAGCCAGAGCAAAGGTCTACAGTTATAGACTCACACATTGAACGTTCCAGCGAGTTTCAAAAGTCAAAGTGAACTTCTCGTTGTGTACATGTTGTCCTGAAACGGCATCAACTGATTTCTACAGATTTTATAAAGTACAGTACAAATGTCCATTTCTTAAAGGACATATGTGATTCGTTCAAAGGCAGAGGCTGGTTACTAGGCTGCTACTGAGCAAGATAGCAATGAAATTAAAATCGGCGCTGTTCAACTTGGAAGGGGCATTTTGCACTTTTGCTAGTTCCTTAGTTCACGTCAACACTTTGGTGAAACCTGTAAACCCTTGTGAAGCCGCGGAATGATACAAAAAAGCCACCCGGCTTGCAAGAATTCGCGAGTCTTTACAAGATAGAGGCTTCACTGGGGGAACGGTTAGGACTCCACGAGAGGTCAGCCTGCCGCCGCCGCGGCGGACGAGAGGTGGGCCCCGCGATGCTTTCGCTATGTATTTTTTTCATTTGCATAGTCCATGAGATCTCCAACAGTCTGCTTTATTACTTGCAGGTGTGAAAACTATGAAAGGAGTAGGCCCGATGTTCAACTATTAGTCCAAAAAACGCCCATTTACATAGAAATAATATTTAGAGAATACATCAGCAATCTACGAAAATTCTTTTCAGGGTGGTAT